AGAGGCATTATGGTTCAGTGTTAAAGACTTGCTTGATCCTTCAGTGAAACCAGAAAATCGTCATACAGCTCTGCATTTCCTTCAATGTCTTGTTCAAGGCCAGGTAAAATTTGTCATCACAGAAGCAGTATTTGCTAGGCTAAAAGTTTTATTTTTTGAAAAGGTTTACTGATTTAACTTGTCATATTTTGAATTACATGTACATGTACTAAATACACATTTTATTAATCTTTATCCTGGTATTTGGCAAAACAAGTACACTTTTCGCATATAGATAAGATAATTTTAATTTTGTTTTATTTTTTTATTCTTAAAACATTCTGCATTCTAAAGTAAACAATTATGACTACATTAATATTTTTTTATTTAAATTAACCTATGGTTACTTCTTAAAGATGACATACACAATATAAATAACACTGTTACATAAATAATTTTCTTCATCCTAGCTTCAGTACCTGGGGATTCTAAGAGCTCATTTCTTTCGAGTTATTAGTCAGCTTAATGTACCAAGTGACCTACAATACAGGTAATTCTTTAATATTAATCTATAAAATGAAGAGTTTTCTATATTACTGTAAGTTCACATGACTAGATGAAATATTCTGTTGTACGTAATTACAGGTTGGAATTGTTGATCACATTAAGTGAGAATGGGAGAAATTTACAGGAGTTTGAAGAATCAGCAGGTATAGTTTTTACTTTTTAAAATACTTCAGAATTCAGTACTTTGCAGAATTGCCATAAGCAATGCAGAGTAGGAAAAAATGTTTATGTCAGAAATATGCTATACAAAGTCCTGTAAAAGTATGTAAGAAAACTAGATATACACATGCTGTTTAAAATTTATGATTTCATTGTCTTCTATAGGTCAGTTTTTGCTGGAATGGATGCCAGACGTTGTAAACTCGGACAAACTGGGAGAATTTCTGACCCTGCTGATCCACGTTATCAAGTACAACGCTGCCTACCTGGACGAGGAAGTGGTGGCGGGGCTGGTCAAGTAAGATCCATAAACAAAATGTGTTCCTCAATCTGATTGGACCATTTTAACCTTGCATAAATTTTTACTTTAACTAATTGCTGATTAGATTAACCTTTCAATAATTAAAGAAAACATGGTTAAGTTGAGTGAGTGCTAGATTTTGGTAAGGTTTACAAACTTGTCATCATGTTTTCTGTACCATTTGATGACTTTTATTTTAGGAATACTTGTTTGCTGTTGAACAGAAGGAGACGTGAAGAGGATGTTACAGTAAATATTTCACCAGTATTGAGACATTGAGTATTATACTGATTTATTGAAACATTTCGTTATCTTTACAAATCTTTTCTTTATATTTTTAGCTGTGTTTAGACTTTCTGGATGCTGTTCTGTGCTACAGTTACCTACCTACAGAATGCCTTGTCAGCTTTATTTCTGCTCTCTGTCACACGGTCAACATTTCCAAGTTCTCACTATCAAGCTGGGAGGTAATGGAATGTGTATTATTTTTGTTTGTTTTCTTTTGCTTTTTCCATGTATATTTTTACTGTAATTGCCTTTTTAAAAAAATTTATACATGCATGTATGATGTGTCATTAACCCAAATTTTGAGTACAAGTATTTAGGGCACACTAAGTTTCAAATTTTAGGAGATGTTTATTTTTCAAAATTTTAAATTTAAGTGCATCTCTTTGATAATTTTTTTGATAAAATATAGGCAAAAATAAAGATCTTTATTATGCTTATTATATAATATATTGAATAATATTCTTTTAGTTGATGAGAAAGTTACTAGGCACACATCTTGGACACAGCAGTATTTACACCATGTGTTGTATTAAAGAATACACAAGTTTGAATTCAAAATAAAAGTTTTAATATATAAGATTTGGATTAAAATTATCCTGATTCAATTCCACATTCAATTTTGTAGTCTTTGTAAAAATTTTAAGGCAATTGGTTAATTTATTGGCAGTTTCTCCTCATTCGATATATTTTTAAGTGGTAAACACAACACACGAATAATCAACTGCAACGAACTTTTTTGACATTTTGGTGCACCAGGAAAGCATTCCGTATTTAATTTGAAAAATAATAATGACACCTTGTAAAACTGTGTTTACATTGAAATAACCATAGAAGAAAAAAGATTATAAAAATATCACTATATCTTAATGATACAAATGACATAGGAGTTTTCTTAGCGAAATTCTTTTTTGTTCGGACCCTGTGTTCAGTTTCTTTCCAGCAGTTTAATAAAACTGATTATATGTAATAGCAAAAGATATGTCACAAACAATCGATATGAGATTTTCTATAAGTTGAATGATGGTGAGAATATTGTCCGTAACTTATAATAAACATTCAGAAGATTGTTACGGTTGCAAGTTGGTTTTTGGCTGTTATATACGGAGAACTAATGAATGTGTTTGTAACAATATAATATGTCAATTACATAGTTTGACCTGTTGGACTTATCCAATATATTTTCAGCATTAATTATATACAAATGAATTTTTAAAAAAAAAGACGTTATAATCCATGCGCTGTAAGGTGATAAAATACATGGCATAAAATCACATAATTTGTTTATTTATGCATATATTTCTCTCTATTTGCTGTGCATATTTACTAAAATATGTACTAAATAATAAAAAAATTTCATGCAACACAGTGATGTTTATTTTTTACATTTTAATTAATTATAGTATGATATCTACTAGTGATGTTAACCCTCGTATTTTTACTGTAATTGCCTTTTTTAAAAAAAAATATAAAAATCATTATAATTTATATAAGGCTTTCAGTGTATTAACAGACCAAATTTTTTTAACCTAAGGCTATTTAGCATTGACTGGCAAATTTTTCAAAAGAACTTCAAATTCCAGGAGATTTTTTTTGTAAAATTTTAAATTCCTGAACAGGTAAATTAGCACTCTCTTTGATTCTTTAAATTTATTTTGATATTAACCTTTTTCAAAGTAATGGAAAAAAGATTTTGTGCATAACATTTAGATTTTCATCATTTTATTATAAAAAGTTTTTTCCTTTGAACTCATATTATGTACTATATTGAATAATATTCTTTTCACGTCACATAAAGTGCAAATGCTTGAAAAAAGTACCAAAATCCGAACACTCATTTCAAGTGCAAGTGCAAGTGCTTGAAAAAAGTACTGGTACATAAAATTTTATTGTATATACCGATATACATAACTGAAAACACAATTCTTAAAAAAATTAATTTAGATTTTAATATTATGATTTTAATATCTGTTCAGAAAATACGCTAATTATGGTTTTGCTTAACAATTTAAAAATATATTTGATATGATTATGGTCCACATGCATATGATCAGGATTTTAATTTTTTGAATTTTTAATGTGTTTTCCAGACATGTGCATGATCAAGAGTTGCTGAGGGGAGTGGTGTACTTTGTTGGCATGGCCCTGTGGGGTTACAGGAAAGTTCCCACCCTCAAGCATACATTCTCCTCTGTTCTGCCATCTTTCTTACAGGTTGGTTTGTTGCTCAGTCATGGTTTTACAATGTTTATTTGGATTTTTCTGTCAGGATAGAAATTATAACTTATAAATTTGAGACATTGGAGATAATATTAAATGTACACATACTACACAGGTGTTGGAGTCCCACAGTTTTATAGTGGCTCATGAGGTGGTGCTGAACATTCAGAGACTGGTCAGAAAGTACGGCAAGGAACTCCAGCATGTGACATGGGAGATCGTACTGAACATCCTAGAGAGTCTTCTCAAACTTCTAGAGGTATGATTACATATCGTAGTAACTGCTCAGTATAAGTTTTACAGATACATATTGTAAATATGAATTCATTTGACTACCTGTACAGTAAAACTCATTTAGTACGAACACGAATATTGTGAATTTACGAATACAGCGAAGTTATATTAAATCCTCAGCTATATAAATTTAAGGAATGCATGATACGTATATAACGATTATGAATATAGCTAAGTAATTTCATAGGTCCCAGTGACTTCATTATAACCAAGTTTTACTGTATTATTAAAAAACGAATTCTTTCAGATTAATGAAAGAAAACTTATTTCATTTGTTCAGCACCCCAGCTTTTAATCTTTTTATCACATTTGGTGTATTATCTATGTTTTTTTTAATTGATAGAATCCTGCATTTGCTCAACCCAGCCATGACCCGAGACTGCAAGCTGACCTCCATGACATTTTAACCAACATTGAGCAGCTGCATGCACAGGGCCAGTTTTCTGGGTGTATCACCCGATTCTTCAAAATCATAGAAATGTGTGCCAACAAGAGACCAGTAAGTTTTCTATTTAGCTCTTTAACTCCTTTTTTGTCAGTTTCTTATTTTTCTATTGTTGTACAGTCAAAACTTCTTTAGCAGCTACTGCTTATCTTGCTTAAAATTTAACAAATTGATTGATTTTCATGAAGTTGACAAGAATTTTCAAGTCAATATTTGAAAGAAAAATCATTGAGATAATTGATTTTTAAAAAAAAAAAGTTATTTAAGGTATTTGATCATTTTGGTTCTTTCCCACAAACAGGAGAGTTCTGTTTCCCTGCTGATAGATCACCAGGCACAACTGATAAACCCCACCAAGGAAAACTGGATCAACCACCTTTATCAGCTGCTGGAGAAATACTTCAAGTGAGAAATGGCAGAAAAGTTGCATTATCTACAATGTATTTATAATATGTAACACTTGATGGGGGGTGTGATACTGTATCTAAGCAAGCTTGATCATTGTATATTGTATAATATTTTCATCTTGTTTGATACTTGTATGTCAAACTGTTTTTGCCATTTTACAGAAATGAAACCAGAACCCAGATAAGGGTTAAAGCCCTTGACAAACTATCACTAGTTCTTAGCATCAATAAACACATTTATGAGGTGAGTATTGATAAACAAATAAAATTTATTTATCAGTTAATACATACATTTTCCTGGCAGTCTTCTTTTAACTTTGTACATGTATCCAGATCATGAAATTTTTATCTCTTTACAGGATGTGTTGATCAATAGAGTTGTATTACCCCATTTGTGCCATATAGAGGCTGACCATGACCCCCAGGTCAGAAAGGTCGCAGCAGACATGTTACTGTTGTTGGCCAGTGGTTGTAGCCCCTCCTGCTTTGTAGAGATCATTGCAATCATAGAAAAGGTAACTTTTGTATGTTTCCATTTAACTTAAACTGAAAAGACATTTTATTCTTTGGTTATCTTACATGTAGATAAAATGCACATTTGATTTTTGCATTTGACTTGTTGGCATACAGTTAATTTTATACTTTAGTCGTCGTAACTTCTTTCAAATAGATTATAAAAATGCAAAAAAAAAAACCTGGATGTTTCAGATATTAATGCATTTTTCCTTTCTAGTTGATAAATAGGCCCCTGACAGCCCATCCAGCTTCTCCCTATCCAAAGGTCGAGGGGTCAGAGATCATCCAACAGCTAGAGGAAACCCAGCTGGACGATGTCAAGACAGCCATGATAGGTCTGGTGGAACTCTTCAAGGTGGGTGTCGCAAGGAAATGTAGAAAATATATTGTATTATTGAAATATGTTTCACGTCTTTCTAATAAAAACGTGTTTTGTTTGCAGATTATATGACCCTTTTATATATAATGTTAAAAAAATGTTGCTAATAATTAATATTTTATGAATGGATTTGATTTTTTTAAGGGTATTGGACACTTTATTTTCTTGAGAATAATGTCATACGACTCTTTTCAATTAGCGATTTTTGAGCAAAAGTTTTACACAGATCCCCCAATTGTGGTTATTGGTCTATATAATCTTGTTGGAATACTATTATACGCGAGAAAAAATTTTCGCAAGCACACAGCTGTACAAATCAGGAAATATGTAGGTGTTACACTGTTTATGCTTGATTTTATAGAAATGATACATTGTGCCCTGTTAATTTAAAACTGATTTACAGTATTTTATGAATGGATTTGATTTTTTTAAGGGTATTGGATGGAAGGGTGGATGTATTTTTAATGCAGTAAATCTTGATTAATAATGGTATTTTGCAAGTTTTCAATTGTAGTCTATTTTTGTAGCAAAAGTTGTACACAGATCCACCAACCCACTGTTTGAAGATTTATGACTTGTTGGTGTTACACATGAAGCATCAGTATACGGAGCCAAAAAACTTCACAAGCCACACTGCTGTACAAATCAGGAAATGTGTAGGTGTTACACAGTTAATGCATTATTTCATAACAATAATACATTGTGCCCTGTTAGTTTAGAAATGGGGGATTATACTGTATTATAGAGAATAACAGAGAAAAAAGTTTACTGACTAAGATACTGTTGCAATGTTCATCAATGTAGAAATGTGGACTTGATACTGTAATGGTTTAGGAGCCCTTTCTTGGAGATAATTTTGGTTTGCTCATGTTTATCCATTACTTGACAGTGAAACACACTTTTTAAGGAAGTGCCAAGGATGACCAACTTTAATCATTTTAAACATAATTATTTCTGCTAAGATTATAATAGCTTTTGACTCTACTGAGTGTGCTTGTTATTTATCTGACAGGTGATGAACAGGTTAAAGTTTTTGCTACACATGAGAGTTACTATGAGAGACCAAACTTGCATGGATTACATCTTAGATGCAAGAACGTTCGGATGCTGAATCTGACCTACATTTTCCTTACCTTAAAGTTTTTGTGCAGAAATGTTAAGAGAATATACACATAGATGGTACATCCTAGAAATTACAAACTGAATCATGCTGAATTTTTTTTTAAACAAAATTCATTTTAATTTCCAAGTTACTATGAGCCCTATAATGACCAAAATTGCATGGATGTAACCAAACAGAGGTATTCTAAGATGCTGAATCTGACCTACATTTTCCGGTTAAGTGAACAGGTTAAAGTTTTTGATGCAGGTTTCATTTCCAAGTTTCTTTGAGACATATAATGACCAAACTTGCATGGATGGTACATCTTAGGATGCATACTAAAATGTCATTTTCTTTCATTTTTTTGGTGCAGGTTTCATTTCCATGTTTCTATGAGACATATAATGACCAAACTTGCATAAAGTCAGTGAAACAGTTGAAGAGAACAGGTTATTTTTGATGCCATTTCCAAGTTACAGACCAAACTTGCATAGATGGTGGATGCATTTCAAGACTTGCTTCGGATGCTGAATCTGACCTACCTAAACTATAAAAAGTCCTTCAGTATTTTTCTGTTACATGAGCCCTAGAAAACTTGCATGGATGGTACATGCATTCCGACAATACGATAATCTGATCATTTTCCGGTTGAGAACTTTGTATTTGTAAATGCCCTTGTATAACAAATTTTTTTAGTAAAATGCTTAACATCCATTTATCCCATTGTAATAGAATTATGATTTATGCAAAAATACCAATTCTGGGATTGTTTTCACAGGACAAAGACTGGGAGGTACTGGAGCGTGTCCTAGTCAATCTACCATTACTACTTCAGAACAAAACCCTTATATTGTCAACCAAGCATGACCTTATCAATTCCCTGTGTCATCATCTTTGTGCCATGGTATGTACTGACAACTTTATACTGTAGATTCTGTAGATTCCTTATTTTTCACAAGTACTTAATATTACAAAATGCCTTGTAGATGTTAAATTGCAAGACCAGGAATTTGCAAATGAACTGTTGATTGAGACTTTTTACATGTGTAAAAGCAATATGAGAATAGATATTAAGGAATCTGTTGTTACTCAATACATAATTATAGAAGTGCATGGAATTTTTTTTTGTTTTTGATTAATTAAGCATGTGTGAATTTTTTTATTACTTAAATGCAGGTAAATGATTTATTTAGTTGAACTTTCCTGAGAAGCTACACGGAACCCCCTCAGGAAGGTTCACCAGATCAGACTTCCACACATTTGTGTTCCCTGTGCTGGCAGCCATGGTGTCTTACCATAGATATCTGGACAGAAACCGAGCTGTAATTTTTTGGTAAAAGTGCTTAGAATCCATTAATGATGTAACATAAATTCTTTTGAAATAAATAAATTTTATGCTCCTGAATTTTTTTAAAATTTAGGACAGTGTCATATTGATATTTTTTATTTTTTCTTTTGCAGATTTTTTATTGACCTGGTCAATCGGTGTAATTTTTGAAATAAAAATATATGGAGGTGTCATATATTAACTTGACACAATGGTAGCCTATGATTTTACTCTGTGTTCTGACAGAGAGAGATGATAAAGTGTCTGGAGTTTGGCCTGGTGTCTAAGTGTGCTAAGACTTGTACTAACTCCCTGAGGATATGTACACTGGAGATGCAGGACGTAATGATGCGACTCCTACCCTCCGTCTTACTCCAGCTCTCCAAAATCTCTGCTACAGTCCACATGGCCATCCCTGTACTGGCATTCTTATCAAGTACGTGGAATTGTTTTTAAAAAGTTTTGCATTATGAGTTTTTACATGTAAAAAATAAAAATGATTTTAAATTTCATTTTGTTGAAATGATGTATGGCATCTTATAAATGATGATATTTTTTAATTAAATTTTCTTTCCATATTCACTCATAACAAACACATACTTTGTATAAATTGGAGAGAAGTGGTTGTTTCTGTATATTTCCGTATCTAATATAGTTGCTCTATTTTTGTTAACTAGGTATTGTGAGGATTCCCCGGATGTACGCTAACTTTGTAGAGGAGGAGTACCTCAGTGTGTTTGCCATAGCTCTGCCATACACTAACCCTTTCAAGTATAAAGTGTCATGGCCTTGTGTTAAAACTTTATTTCTGATATAGAAATTCAGTTGATGATGCGATTTTTCCGTCTTAAAAAGCTTTGAATCTCATAAATGTTTCATTTGTCTAAAGAATAATTTTTGAGAAAATATTATTGTTATTTTGAATTTGTTTTATAGATATTCTATTTCATTTTGTTGAACATATTATGCCATCTTATATTGATGTTATTTTAATTGAAATTTTCATTCACACATATCAAAATGCTTTGAAATAATTGCTAATTATAGTTTGCAGTAATTTTTATTTATTTGAAATTGTTAACCAGGTTAGCAAAATAAACTAGAGGAGGAGTACCTCAGTGTGTTTGCCATAGCTCTGCCATACACCAACCCTTTCAAGTATTTACTTTCTTTAAACTTGAGCATTTATTCCACAAATAATTTCTATTCACAGTATTTTTTTTTAATCATAGTTGATTCATTAATGCTTCATTGTAAATTCACCCAAAGGATAAATTGAATAGAGTGATAATTTTGGTTTATTTTTGCATTTTAGTAGTAGCCAGCTGAAATTTTAATTGCTATTAAAAATATTCAGAATGTTTCTAAGTGTTCTCCTGTAAAGTCATGAAGCCTAATGTCCGTTTAGATAAATTATGCCAACAACTTTTCCTATATGTTTCAGATTTAGCCACTACACTGTTTCTTTGGCCCACCATGTTATAGCTATCTGGTTCATCAGATGCCGTCTTCCCTTCAGAAAGAGTTTCGTCAAGTTCATCCAGAAGGTGGGTGGATATTATTTGTACATAAATGTATTGATAAGAGGTTTACATTTAATGCATATAGGTATTCACTAACAAAAAGTTGATATTTATTTTTTAAAGAAAAAATATAGCAGTGGTGATTATTCTTTGAGGAAAAAAAAAATTATATTTTCTATACATCTTTCCATTCAAAATAAAGATTGATTTACATTTTGTTTTATTTAGGGATTTAAAATAAATTTTTATTAAAATTTAATTTCATTAATTAATTTTATTAGGGATTACAAGCCAACATTATCCAGCAGTTTGAGGAGAACTCCATCATCCACCAGCAGCAGAATCAGAACCAGGACTCTAGTGATAGGAGTAGATCTAACAGCTTCAATGACTCCGCATACAGAAAGTAGGCAGCAGGGGCCCACTCTATAAAGAACTTACGACAAAGATCAAAATTTAGTTCTGTTGTATAAAACTTTCTAATCAACATTTAAATGAAAATAAATTTAATGTTTTTCAAAGGAATAAAGGCAGATAATTTAACACAAGTAATCTTATACAGAATCATCAATTTTGCAAAGATTTACAATCAATGAAATTTTGGTTTTAGTTAGAAGTTCTTTTGTAACACAAGGGCCAGGATTACTTAGGCATTTCTTAATATTGAAGCTGAAATTTAATTTTAATTTATATAAACACATGTATACTTATATGCTGATTTTAAGTACAAATGATGTACCTGATGTACCTTGGTTTAGCTATCTGAGTGTTTGTAAATGTCTTCTCTTTCCCTAGATAATTTTTTACTGAGTTTCTCGATTATTGATTTCAATGAGCAGAGTTTTGGGTGCATAACCTGAGTAATTAAAAAGTTGCTACAATTTTTTTTTATTAAGCCTAAAGTAAAAAGGATAAATGTATATACTTTTATTGTGTGTCAGTGTAACTTGATTTTTTTGCAGCCGTAGGAGAATGTATTCTGGATCTGCTATTAACCGTCAGAATTTTACTGCCCCAGTGGATAATAAGCTCTCCCAGTACCATCACGAGCTAACGGAGACCTGCTTAGATGTCATGTCACGCTATACATATGGCAATTACAGTGCCATTCCGACAAGGTGAATGGGTGTTTATATCAAATTACGAGGAATTTACATGATTAAAAATTTCATAGAGTCCACAGAATATTAAAAATTAAAAAAACTTCAAGTTTATATCTTACAGTAATCTAATTTTTTTTCTTTATAAGAAATTTAAGTCAAAATATTTGTATTTTTACATGTAGGTCCCCAGTGGCAGAATTTTTGTTGAATGGTGGACAATCACAAATGTGGCTGGTGGGAAACAAAGTGGTTACCATAACAACTAGTGGTGGGGGAGGAAATAAGACCAACAACACTGGACTGTGCGATAAATGTCAGTCCATCTACCAGAGTAGTGGACAGGTGGCGGAACCCAAACCAGCACCACCTACAACCTCCACCAGGAGGCGCCACAAGTCGGCCTTTGTCACCCGCAGCGCCTCCACCATAGAGAGTCGGGCCAGTGCTGACGACATTGGGATCCAGTCGCGGATGTCGTTCGATGACCTGATGAGCAGTCCAGACAGTGCCCCGGAGCAGGAGGTGGGGGTACAGACTGGATCCTCCCTGTCTGATCACACCCCCACTAAACTGGGGCTGGAGACTGAAGCAATGGAGGCATTCCTCATGGGTAGGATTTTACATTGAATGTTTTATAATTTTTTTTTTTTTTTTATTTGCCTTTTTTTGATAAATATTTTAGTATTTTTCTATGATTGTGGTTTTCAGGAATTTAAAATTTGTTTACTTGAAAAATGTTGCTAATAAGTGTAAATGACTGCACTCAAAATTTAGCTAAATATTCTTCATAAGCAACAAGCTTTATTATTAATTTTTGCATTTGCTTGGAGCCAAGCTTCCATGCATATTTCTTTTGATCACATATTTCTGATTTTGATAATTGGACACGAAGCAAAGTGAAGAGTGTGTAAATATGATAGCCACTTCAAAAATTTACAATGAAAATACATGGAAGTGTTTTATGATAAACTATATACAGTATTTTATCATTATTTACTTTATAAATGTAGTGCTTCTGTAATTTGTAGGAATACAGAAGAAGCACTCTTCGGATGGCCGAGTGTTTCAGAGTAATATGTGTGCCTGTTGGTGCACAGTTTGGGCCGAGATTTTTATTCGGGGACCCAGCGGTAATGTTGCCTGGATGATGCGCATAGAAAATGATCCATCACATACCTCTATGCAGGTAACATATACAATATCCAAAAATGAACATTAAAGTAAGCAGTATATACTTCACATTCAGGTACTAGTGAAATGCATAGACTTAAACTTTGACATACATTCATTGAACAAATACCGGTAATAAATCCAAAAAAAAATTAAGATAAGAATTGTTGATATTTTTTTTGTTCAATGAAACATATGTTTTTAAATATTTTTCTAGACAGATTTTGGACAGTTAACTGTTAACTTTCACTAGCTAAACTCCATTCCTTTTTTCAGGAGTCCCAAACTCCGGACATCACCATGTTGTTCCAGTCAGTGCAGAAGAAGGAGCCGGATCTGGAGAGTTTACACAGTCGTATAGACAGCGGGAGTATCGGCGAAGACGAGTACGAATCACTGTATGATCAACACTTCCCATCAGACCACAGCCAAGATGGAGGTAAATTAATGCGCGGTAGTACATGTACATGAATGTTGATTAATTTGTATTTGGTTTACCATAAATAAAATCATACATGTTAACTCTCCCGATTTAGGCAGGTAACAAATTTTTCAACATTCCAAAAATGAAAAAGTCTACCGCTTTTACAAATGCTACAAAGTATTTTTGGGAACATTGGGTATCCATTTTTGAAGCCACTCTCATAAAATCTCGCTGATATCGCATGATTTTTTCGGAATCATACAAACGCTTTTTTTGATTTTCAAGCACGGATTTGACAACGACAACAACACAAGACTACCAGTGATTACATTGGTTACGATAAATTAATCAACATCCCTGCCATGAAAAAGGAGATACAGCTTTTAAGAATTAGATGAAAACATTTGACATCGTCATTAAAAGCACGGAAGCTCACAACTTTATGAATTAAGTCAATAGAAATCACTCGATTGACCAAGCCATGTGGCACATCTCTACTTTCGTTTTCGATCATCGCGGGAAATCTGATTTATATAACGAAAGATAGGAACTTGTTTTAGATCTAGATTAAACCATGTCATCATTTGTTTTGTTTAAAAACTGAATGAACATTCAGACTTATTGCTTCTAGGCTATATCGGCAAAGATCACTCTTCAAAAGGCTAAGTAAAGCAGCCAATCCAAGCAAAATGATGAGCATGAAAAATATTTGAATTTGTACAATTTATGTCAAACTTGAGGTGTTTCTGTCTTCTTCTTTGCTGTTGATATTTAAGATTAATTAGTGTAGGTACCTGATTTCATTTAAGGCTTATAATATACATGTATATTGCGTACATGAAAGATATCGATAATCCAAGCGTTAAACAACACGCGCGCAATGCTACCGCTTTTGAGGTCTGAATCTCCCTATTTTTCATCACAATAGGTTAACATGTATGATAAAATAGAGAACATGGATGATTTTTTGCATGAAAAAAATGAATTAGGTGTAAATTATAGCAAATTTTTTTTTTATAAGTGTACATAAATGTTTTAGCATGTGTCCCTTGTTTACATAAACTTGTATTTTCCAGGTTAAAAAAATTGTGATATTTTATGAGAATTCATGAATTTGATCAATCACTTTGTAAATCTGAGTGCACCATAAATTTAAATTTATAATGATATTGATGAACTTCAGGTTCATAATTGAAAACTTTCACAATTGAAACTTAGTTTTAATTTTGTGTGAATGAATAACAAAATTTTGTCCCCGAGTGATGCTATAAAATATAAATTAATGTTTTCAAAGCACATTTTCTTTCTACTATAAAAGCACCTAGATCCTGATTTTAAAGTAGCTATAGCACTGCTGTAGATTTTAATATAATCAATGTTTTTAGATTTGTTTGAATGTTTATATATGCTAGGAAATGTACATTGTAAAGCATATGACATGTTTAACATTTAGACTACTAATTTTACTGCATGTGCTAGTAATGCAAGTTAATGTAATATAAACTTGATTACTTTGTGTCATAATCAGAAGGCTTATACATGTATATGCTTTATAGATATAGCTTTTTGTGTGTGGTTTGATCTTGTACTCAGATGTGTGTCCCATTGTTGTAGACTTGTGCAGTTCTAATTCTATTAGAATCAGTATAGAGGACATGACAGAGGAGGGTAGGTTCTGTAGATGTTGTTGTGTGTTAAACAGTTTAAACCTCTGGCATGCTGTTGTGTTAATGTATTCACTGTGTTTGTCTCAATATAAAAGCACAATCATCTCTTGAAAAGCACTTATATTTCATTTATTAAAACTTACTATTATTTGCGTGGAAGTTTCTCAATCTACTTTTACTCGCGAATATAAAATCGCCATGAACCATTTACATTGTATTTTGTTTTGTAAATGTAGAGAATGTTTCCTCAGTCAAAAATTTAACGTCTTGGACTGATTGTAAACGCAAATAATAGCTGGTTTACAGTACATTATATTTAATTTTGTTGATACAAGTATTTCTGCACTTGACCAACTATGCATACTCCGATCCACTTATATTAGCATATTTCAAATTTGCAATACTTAAAAAATTTCCAAGTGTATTTCATTCTTATTTCAAAGATTAACAGACATAATGCATTCACAAGTAAAATATAATGCCCTATTTTTTTTAAGGTTAAAAGATAACAATATTTATGATATTACAGCAATCTAAGAAAAAACTAATTTAACTTGAAGATTTTAAATAAGTGTCTTATGCAAACAAAAGTAATAGTAAGTTCATGTATGAAGTTTAGACAAGGTTAATGATTCAAGTTTTTTCTGTGCTTACTATAAATTATCTGAAGTTTTTAACAGGATATTAGACAAATATTCCATATCCAAATTGCTTAGATGTCCATTTTTTTCTCCAGGTCACATGAAAAGAATGAGGCACATTACAGAGGAAGATAAGAAGGTAATAGTTCTTCATGACAACTGAACTTATGCTATTTTCTAATTTTTACTCACTAACTCATTTGAATTAGCAGTTTAGCACAAACTTTTAATTTTATTTTTTTAATCTACAGTGCAAAATATGATAGACAGTGATTTTTTTAACACAAGGGTACATTGTTTTTTCACAGAAAGAGGAGTCAGACCCCAATGGACTAGCCATCCCGACCCCTTCAATAAGCCGAGAACAACTGAAGTTTACTTCCCTCCAGCGCAGTAATTCCTCCCCCTCCCTGTTGAGTTCCAGTGGAGAAAACCTTGACCCTCGAGACAGCCAATCAGAAATCGTGATGATAGACAATCTAATGGCTGCCAGAAAAGAGGAGATAACCCAGGACAAACCAGACAGCTCCTTACTGGCATCCAAACTTGAGCACCCAGAGAACCTGCCAATCAAACCCATTGACACATTAGCCAAACAAGATCAAGTTGTCTCTCCTATCAGCCCCTCCCCAAGTTCAGAGTCCTCATCCCTTCATGATGAAGTGAGGGAACTGCCTGATTTCAGGAAGGCTAGAGGTCACACTATCTCAGTTATACAGTCATCGAGAGACGGGTTGAAGTCTGGGGGACCAGGCAACAAGGACCAGGGGAGGGGCGGAACTAGCCCCAGCTTTATATTTCTACAACTGTATTATGATGGAGTCTTTAGCTCTGCTACCAGCAGCTCATCATCTCCAATTGTTATTCCACAAAACGAGGTAAATTGTCCCTTCCGTTTTTTCTGGCATTTTGATACTCATTTAGATATTCTGTGTTAATATACATGTAGATATCAAACAATTTATCCTGCAACTACCCCTTGCATTGACCTAATAAGGGTAACCTAATAAACCAAAGCTTTATCCGGTCACTGCCCTAATAAAGCCTCGTGCATGTATTCTGACGTTCTAAAAGCATTGTGACGTCATGTATATTGCAATGTTTACGCCATGGCGTCATAGTTTCAACTGCAGAGATGTGCCTAAATCTGTCGGAAATAGCTTCTTTTGGAGGTTCAAATGTAAGAAATATGTTGCAGGATAAACAAAATACATGATAACTGTCTAGAAATATAAGCGATATTTGGGCTTGGGTTTACACGTTTTCTTACCCTCGCCCAAATATCGCTTATATTTCAAGACAGTAACCATGTATTTTATATATATATTACATGTTCAGACTACTACAAGAGCCTTGAAGATGTTGGATCATATTCATCCATATGAGACCCACAAGATTGGAGTCATTTACGTTGGTCCAGGACAGGTGAGTCAATACAAGATTTATTATCATTCCTCTGTAGGGAAAAAAAGGTTCAAACAAAGCTTTACCTGGAAGAAAAATCATCATTTCAGACAAAAGATGAGAAGGGTATACTGTCCAACCAGTATGGGTCGGAGCGTTATGCAGCCTTCGTACAGGGTCTGGGTCAGCTGTTACGTCTGTCGGACTGTAATCCGGACCGTGTTTACATTGGAGGGCTGGACTGCCAGGGAAAAGATGGACAGTTTGCTTATGGCTGGCAGGATGAATCCATGCATGGTATGCCCTAAAGACTTTTGCTTTATTTTGTTTTCACAGGAATAGAGCACACAGTAAAATTATATGTCATTTCATGATGTTTTGAATTATTAGATTCAGTGGAAAATTTGTAATTGTTAAAGACACCTTTTCATTTTATGCTGTTTTTATTTTGAAAATGCATAGCAAGACTTGTAGGATGAATTAATACTTTTATTTTCCTGCTGTCTTCCATTCTCTGATTTCCTTTTTAGTGATTTTTCATGTGGCCACCTTGATGCCGAACAGAGAAAGTGACCCTAGTTGTAATGCGAAGAAATTACACATAGGAAATGACTATGTAACCATTGTATACAACGACAGCAACGATGACTACAAGATCGGAGTGATTAAGGTAGTATAGCTTGGGCTTAGGTGGTACATGTATCAAATAGAAAGTAGAATAAAAAGATTTTTAGCTTAAAGTGTTAAATGTTTCAAATAGAAAAAGAATGAAACTAATATTTCAGGCTAAATCTTATATTGAATTTGTCAGAATAAGTGACAAAGCTGTTTAAAAGAGAGAAATATTGTTTATAAAGAGATTTTTTTCCTCATATAGGGACAGTTTAACTATGTCAATATTGTGATTCGACCTCTCGACCATGAGAGTAATGCCATAAACCTACAGGCCAAGGAAGGTAAGAAAGTACTAATTAATCCTGTCAATTTCATTCCTATCTAATGATGTGAACATTATTTTTGTTTGAATTTTTATGGTAATGAAAATTATTGTAGATTTTTCTTTTTGCAAATATTTATTTTTCAAACAGATTTGACTGAATCATGTAAATATTTTTTATTTTGATGACATTCAGTTACTGCTTCATTAACATCATGACAGCCATGCTTAATAATAACAAATTGTTCTTTTAGAAATGTTCTATGCACTAGTCAATTGTTCTATGTAGACTTTAATGTCTGTGTTTGACAGAGCCAAAAAAATCTTACCAATCTACTTGCCTGGGTTAACCAATGATTTAAAAAAAATAATCAAAGTATTTCCAGAGTGTCTTAGTCTTGGTCTAATAATTAGTGTCTAAACGAATTTCAAACACTTGATGCAAAAAAAAAAAAAAAAAATTAAATATGATTTATGTAAAAAGTTTGATTTTAATTGAGTACCGTCGTCTGGTACCTGATAAGCTTTTAATGCCTTGACCAGATTGATTTTTCTGTAGTTTTGTGGTGGATCATAGCATGTGTATCATTTGCTTCTCAGCAGAGTCAGGTTTTGATAAATGCTCCTGAATTATGAACTTTATAACCACTAAATTTCCATAACATATCATTTTTTATATAAAATATTTCAAATGTACATGTATATTCCCCCCAATTGTTTATCCATCATTGTTAATCTGTAATCCCTATCAAACTTTCTTACCAAATAAATGTTATCAATGTGTACTTCTGTCCAAATGTTTGAATAGAAAATATATATATATAATAGAAAATGAATGATCCCCCTCCCCCAATAAATTATGGTACTGAATGACCCTAAATATGCTTTTTCTCTTTCTTGAAGTGCCTTTCAAAGACAGTATTACAACAGGTATCACCAGAATTTGCTCTACATCCTAACTCTGTGGCTGGCTTTTGCTGTATTCTCAGCCATGGGCTCTTCTGATCTGTGTGTCTGTCTGTCTGACAACTTTTTCACAAAGCCTTTTCAACTATTGTTCCTAAAAATTATTTGGCCTTTTTGAACATTAATTTTCAATTAGTTTCATATATGTAGATCACACTTTTTTCCTCCTGCACAATCTTATTTTTGCACAATTAGTACTTGGTATTTTTAAGCTGAATATTTTTTTAATGAATTTTGGTTGTTGATCAAAAAGTGTAATGATACAATATATGAGCCCTTATAGGCATTGTATGAAAATAGGGTTAATAACATTTAAAAAATAAAAAAAGTTTTATGAAAAATATTTTACAATACTCAAAGTACAATTAAAATATTGTACTATGTGACTATCAGTTTATCAGGTTTATTTCTCTAAAAAAAAACAAACAATTTAATTAATATCTTGGCTCATGGGCCTCATGTTCTTTTGTGTATGTTTGCTTTTTAACACTTTACTAGTTGCCTTTCCTTGAAAATAATCCATTTCAGTTGTTCTTCATCTGCTTTCTGTGTGAGTCTGTCATGTGCTTTATACATACAATATCACAATGCATTTATTTCCATCTGTTGCTATTTCCCATCTATCCAGCATATTTTCTTTGCACAACCAAATAGGGACCCATTCAATGGAAGCTGTAATTAAAATGGCTTCTTGGATGACAAAGTCTTAGAGAGGCTCTCCTCAGCTTATTATTAAAGCTGTGTAGACTTAATGTATATCAATGCATCCTTTGTTATATTCAGTCAATAGTGGATACTGTACTTCAAAGCTTTGTAGTGCCCATGCAGGTAGATATCAATATGCTAGTTAATCTACGGGTAAATTATACAGGTTTGTAGACAAATAGAAGGTAAGGAATAAATACTAGTATATTAATCAGTTTGTATATCACTTAGTACATATATTGTATATCTAAGAAGTGTGGATTATAGTTTGAGGAGAGAAAAAAAAAGCAACAAAATACTAGACAGAGATTTTTTTGTGAATGTTGGGAAAAAAAATATGAAAACTTTATTAAAATTAATTTTCATTTGTACCTTTTGTGAAATATTTTGTTGTTTTTCTGCAGACATTGCTGATATCTTAGGGCACAAGGATACTAAGGTGATATCTGACGACAACCTGGCAGCTCTGGTCAGACAAATAGCAGTCAACTGTGATGTAAGTACTGTAGTACTGATAGTCTTCAATCAGTTGTTGGTGCATTTGTTGAATCAGTGATATTCTAGTAGCTATCACCAACAGCATAAAGTTATTGACTGTAGTTATAGATATCTTGAATTCAGCATGTCACTAATGGTAAATAGCAGTTGCATTGATATCTTGTTACCATCTAAACTGGTAATGTTAAATGTCAAGTAAGTGAAAGCAAGTATATCGTGGATTTAATTCTGTGCTTAGATTAAATTATTAAGATACTCTGCAATTCCATTGTGAGGGGATAAAAAACCTCTTAAAGTGAATTCCAGCAATTACATGTATTGTGGTACATACATGTTTTTAGCTCACCTGAGCCGAAGGCTCAAGTGAGCTTTTCTGATCAAAATTTGTCCGTTGTCTGTCGTCGTTGTCGTTGTCGTTGTTGTTGTCGTTGGCGTTGTCGTTGTCGTAAACTTTTCACATTTTCATCTTCTTCTCAAGAACCACTGGGCCAATTTCAACCAAACTTGGCACAAAGTATCCTTAGGTAAAGCGAATTCAAGCTTGTTCAAATGAAGGGCCACGCCCTTTTCCAAGGGGAGATAATCATGAATTTGTTAAAAATTAATGGCATTTTTAGAAAATCTTCTTCTCCATAACTGCTGGGCCAGGAAAGATGAAACTTATGTGGAATCATCCTCAGGTAGTGCAGATTCAAGTTTGTTCAAATCATGACCCCCGGGGCAAGGGTGGGGCCAAAATGGCCTCCAGTTTTACATAGGAATATACAGGAAAAATCTTTAAAAATCTTCTTCTCCAGACCCACTGGGCCAGGAAAGATGAAACTCATGTGGAATCATCCTCAGGTAGAGGAGATTTAAGTTTGTTCAAATCATGACCCCCGGGGCTAGGACGGGGCCAAAATGGCCGACCCAAGTTTTACATAGGAATATATAGGAAAAATCTTTAAAAATCTTCTTCTCCAGAACCACTGGGCCAGGAAAGATGCAACTCATGTGGAATCATCCTCAGGAAGAGGAGATTTAAGTTTGTTCAAATCATGACCCCCGGGGCAAAGGTGGGGCCAAAATGGCCGACCCAAGTTTTACATAGGAATATATAGAAAAAATCTTTAAAAATCTTCTTCTCCAGAACCACTGGGCCAGGAAAGATGAAACTCATCCTCAGGTAGTGTAGATACTAGTTTGTTCAAATCATGACCCCTGGGGCAAGGGTGGGGCCAAAATGGCCGATCCAAGTTTTAAATAGGAATATATAGGAAAAATCTTTAAAAATCTCCTTCTCCAGAACAACTGGGCCAGGAAAGATGAAACTCATGTGGAATCATCCTCAGGTAGTGCAGATTCAAGTTTGTTCAAATTATCACCTTTGGGCAAGGGTTGGGCCAGAATGGCCGACCCAAGTTTTATATAGGAATACATAAAAAAAAATCTTTAAAAAATCTTCTTCTCCAGAACCAATGGGCCAGGAAAGATGAAACCCATGTGGAATCATCCTCCGGTAGAGGAGATTTAAGTTTGTTCAAATCATGACCTCCGGGGCTAGGGGGGCCAAAATGACCGACCCAAGTTTTACATAGGAATACATAGGGAATTTCATCTTTATAAATCTTCTTTACAAGTCCTTCAAAGCTATGATTAGTGATATTTATATGGAATCATACTCAGGTAGTGTAGATTCTAGTTTGTTCAAATGATGAATGCCTGGAGGGAGTGGGAGGAAATTCAAGCCTGATGTGCTCAGTTTTTGTGGCCCCTGTTTTTTTATGATGGCACTACCCAACGTTTGGCACACGTATCATTGTAAGAGTGATAATTTTATTCTGTAGTTCAGGGACTGAGATGCATCCCTTACTCTTTGTAGACTTTAATAGATATTTAAAAGAATTCTGCAATTTACATATATTTCACTTATTATTTCAATTTTCACTTTTTCTCCCAGCTTGCCTCCCTGGTCCTACAGAGACAGCAGTCTCAGCCCCAGGATCCGTTCGCCTCCAACTGGCTGGAACGCCTCCGACAAATCAAACGACTGAAAGCCAAGGTCCTGACGAACACCGATAAACAGGGCCTGAGTGACATCATGGTGTAACGGGAAGGCCTTTTTTAAAAAAAAATCAACAGTCCTGATGAACTGCGATAAGCAAGGCCATGGAATAACAGCTTAACCTTAGTCCCTGACTGGAAATCTATGTGTATTTTATTGTGATGTGGTGACACCATGATGTTGTAGTATCTTCAAGCAGAGCTAAGACTCTCTAACTTATTAAATATATTAACCAATTCTTATTAATGTATTTTGCTATTTTACAAGCTCTAAAGCACATCATGAAACCACAATGAAAAGTAAATGAAGAATGACATCATCTGTACCAGTAGTGTATTAAACTATAATTTTTAAACAAAAACATTGTGGAAAACCATCTAAAAACAGTATTTGAGTTTGCTTTATGTCATAGAGTATATGTCTTTGTGAACAAAAATTGGCTAATTTGCTTATCCATACTGCAGTGTGTTACAGCAAATAGTAAGCATACATTGTTTTTGTGTACAGTTGTTGTAGTCTTCCTGTAAATACATTTTCACCTTCAGACAAACTAAATTGTAACATGCTATAACCAGATATTGTTCCTCCAGACTTACCTCATTTTGCTTAAGAAAAATTATCAGGTTAAATTTGGGCATTTTAGTCATGCTACCTTAAGTATTTTTTCTCCTGAAATTATTGTACAGGATTTCTTTTTATTACTCTGACATCCAAATATCAATCCTGTTGTCCTATTTATAGTTCAACACAGTTTTGAAAGAAAGTGCTTGTTTGTTACAAAAATAGCTTGGCAATTTAGAGCACTTTGGGTAACATTTATGATATTAAATTTATGTTATAGACAGGATCATTTTTGCCACGTGTTTATTTTTCCTTTCATACTTGCAAACAATTTTGATAAAATTACAGTATCTCGCATATTTCTTTTAATAATTTGTGCAATTGCCAAATCTTCATGGCAGTGAGTTTATTACACATTATATGTGTATTTACTATTGCTCAATGAGGCCTATCATTTGTCAGCTAGTTCAAAACTTGTTCTTTCTGTAAACAGTCTAAAGCTTTTTTTTCATAGCTTACTTGTGTTTTGTTGCAAAGAGGTATTGCTCTCTGTCGAACATCCTTTAAACGATGTCCAGCAATAGCTGTTCAAATTGTATAATTTTAAGAATATATTCATGTCAATAGATTGTCTTACTATATAAAACACTTGTTGGTTTCATATCTACATCACTTAGGTGTTTAATCCACATGATGGCAGTTATTATATATTTTTAAAACTGTAAGGTCAATGTTTAAATATACGAGGGTTGTCCGATAAAATCGTGGACAAGTTGTCTAGTGGGAAAAATAATCATCACTACGTTCTGAAATTTTCACTACGCTTTAGTACATATTTTATGATAAACATGGCAAATTTCAAATAGATATATGCATAAATAAACAAATTATGAGATTTTATGTTTTGCATTGTATCGCTTTACGGCGCACGGATGATAACATCAAAGTGTCTCAAACAGCGTCACATTTCATCTTTGTTAAAACTAAAGTTGGATGAGTCCCTCTATATTTTAGGAATTCATTGATACTACTTGATTATTCATTGATAATAATTCATACTTGAGTCTCCATAAATAGTTGAGGAACCAATATAGCACACACATGCGATCTTCAGAAGATTTATTAGTAAGTTACGGACAAAAATTCTGACCATCATTCAACTAAATAGACAATCTTATATCGACGGTGAACGGTGACAGCATCTTTTGCTGTTACAATACCAGTTTGTCCATATTTTTGTACTACCTGGGGACTCGATCAAAAAAGACTTCGCTAAGAAAACTCCCATTTCATTTGTATACTACGAAAGGTATGGTAATGTTTTAATTTTTTCTTCTGTATTTATTCAAAGTCTCGTAAGGTGTCATTATAGCATCTTAATCAAACTGAACTACTCTCTGCTGCACGGTAACATCATCAAACATCGGCATTTTTCGTGTATTGTGATTACCACTTTCTCATTTCAAATCCTCGGGAAACTGTCAAAAATTAATCAAATGCCTTGAAATTTTTTTAAAGACGACAAGATGGATTATGAAATCGAATTAGCAAAATTTTTACTCCAATCTTATCTATTACAAACTTTTATTTTGAATTAATACTCGTGTATTCTTTAATAAATCTTTGCTTTTTGTTCATGCACCATAGGATCGTACCCTGTGCACATTCAAGCTAAATAAAATCTATATTTTTGTCTTTATTTTATCCAAAACAATTTGATGCACTTAAATATGATAGATAAATATTTACTGAAAATTATAGCTCAATACGTCCATTATTTTTGGGGAAAAACACTTTGTCCATGAATTTACAGGACAACCCTTGTAGATGTTTTGATTTGTTACTGTTTTTTTATAGTAAAATTTAAATGGTTGTTAATGCAATAAATATTGTATACAATTATATTCTTGGCTTTTTACCAGCATTATTTAACCCAATTTGTGACCCTAAAGGTAGAGCTTTTCTTAGAGAACATTGATATCATAAGGTCTGTGTTTAAATGATTAAATTTCACCTGTCACTGACCCGTGTCACTTTTATAATTTGTAGTGAAATAAAAGTAATCAATATGTTCATTATCTCATATACCTTGTCATCATTTGTAAATTGAGAAATTAACATTCATGGTTTTAATATCTGTATGTTCATGTCATATCATTATTCTGCAAAATTTAAACCTGAGTGAAATTTACTTTTTAAGGGGGGGGGGGGGGGGGGCAGAGGTTGCTCCTATTAAAAATGATGGCTAAATAGATGTAATCAGCTAGGAAATCAAATTCAAAATTAATGATGGGGTCATAATTTTAAATTAGCTAATACAATGAATGTGATTGATATAATTTATGACTTTGTTTAAGTTAATCCTAATTTCTAATGTACATGTATATATTACAAGTGTGTTGTGAACATAATACGAGTTATTTTTAGTTTTAGTGGAAAGAGTCTTAACCAATCCTTGTGTACATTTGATTGTTATGCTTGTTATAATGTACATGTATATCAATTGTATTTATAATTATTTATCTATCAGTATTTAATCAGTATGTAAATATGAAGCTTGTTTGATCGAAAAAAAAATTGTGACTTCTTTTTCAATAATTGAACTTCACTGTGGCTATGCTATGTTGGGGTATATTGTGTATAACTCTGGGGTATATTGCATATACCTAGGGCACATATACTTTTGAGAATATTTGAATTTCATGTTGGCTATGCTATGTTGAGGTATATTTTGTATACCTATGGGGTATATTTTTATATACCTATGGGATATATTGTATATACCTATGAAATATATCGTATATTCATATGGGATATATTGTATATACCTATGGGGTGTATTGTATATACCTGTAGGATATATTGTATATACCTATGGGGTATATTACATATACCTATGGGATATATTGAATATGCCTATGTATGGAAGGCTCCCTGTTAAGAGAGGTGTTCAAGGCTTTATTTTATCTCTAGTCATATTTTGAATTGCCAGTAATTTAACTCCAATCATTGATTGAATTGACCACTTTGTCCTTTTCACCTTGAGTCTGTTTCTGTAAATATTGTGCTATTGACTGCATGTGGATTTTGTTTCCTGCTTATGATGATAAGTTGGAATGGTCAGGATCAGAAAGTTTTCTTATTGAAGAGGAACTATTAGATTTGTTACCTTGCAAGTAAATTTTTTTCTACTGATTTTTTTGCTTAATTTCAAAATGATATGTTTATGTACATGAAGATGTTCTTATCTGCTAAAAGAAAAGTTAACATTGTTTCTTTTACCTTTTCTTTTATTTTCTGCATTCAAAATACATTGGTAAATGAGAACCCTGTACATGCTAATTGATAATTCAAAATTGATATAAAGTTTCTCCCAAGATTAACTTACTAGGGTTTTATAAATGAGCATCCTCCATGGATTTTACATGCATTTTATAAAATTTTCATAGCTATTTTGAATATTTTCACTTTAAAAAATTGTAAGATTTGCATTACATGTATTTTGTAAAATTTGATCTTTTTTTTGTAAATACCCGGGTACATGCTTCTTCATTTGATTTTTCTTATGTCTGTATAGATTCTCCTTGTAAAATTTTAAAGTAGCTGTGAAATAAATTTCATTGCAAAATTTGTTTTATTCTTGTTCAACTTGTACCATTGTGTTGGCATATGGTAAAAGTGACCATTTTAGGATTTCAGGATGACAGTGAGAAAGTGTAAAGAACACTAGTCTTAGACAATCACTCATTGTTGAATAAAACATTTAAGTGGCAGTGTGAAAAGGAGACAAATACATGTATTGACAAAAATTGTTTTTTAATTGAGTGAATACGTAGAAGAGGTGTGATTCATTTTCCATCTAGTCCGTCAATTTCATATTTTTTAAAATAGAAAGGATATTGAATGTTTTTTCCCACTCTATTGCCAAGTGGATAAACCGGTTAAGAATTGGGGTAGTTGGTTTAAGTATTTTAGAAGGAATACAATATATTTCACAGTTTAAATGTTCACAGAAAGACTGGATTGACCCCTTTTGTTGCAGTATAGAAAAATCAAGTTATGTACACATGTATAGTTATAAATAAATAAAATTTGCATATGAAAAAAGTTTGAACATAAATTTGTATTTAGGAAGGAATATAGAACATTTTTGACGTTTTCAGTATATCAAAATAGGACTGTATATTTCGTGAAAAATTATCATAGTACTTCAAAACGGCATTCTTAATCATCGTATTAAATAACTGTATATTGTCAGGAAAGCAATATCGTATTACAATTTGATGATAACAATAATATATATAATGGAAAACATTTAATCTTCGTAAGCCAAACAAAATCATGGTATCGTCTGGAAGGGTTTACACTCTGGACTGCTTTGTCTTTTGTTTTACAACAGTTTTGTGTTTTGTACCTCATCATTCCCAAATAAAAGGTAAGTTTTATGTTATGAAATTGCTAATCATAACAAAATTTTAATGTTAAGTTTTAAAAATCATGTCAACGCACTGTTTCCAACACATTACATTGATAATATTGTAGGAAATGTTAAGTCCCTGCTGAAGTTAACCCCCTGGAACTGGAAGCACCTGAACACCTCAGTCAAAGTGGACACCCCGGTCTCCGTGGACATTTCTGTCTTGTCCAACTACAGACTTAGTGTGAAAGACTCTAAGTATCAAAGTCAGTATAGAAGGACACGTTTTTTATGCGCCTGGATCGATAGATCGGGGCTTATGAATACTGGTTTTGTCCTGTCTGTCTGTTTTTTTTCTTACTGTTTGTCTGTTTATTAAGGAATCACTGTCTAGTTCGTATAGTATGCCAGGGCATCAACGATAGTGGGAAACATGGGATAATTTGCATAACGGACGAAGCCCGTTATGCAAAATTATCCCATGTTTCCCACTATCGTTGATTTCCCTGGCATACTATACGAACTAGACAGTGATTCCTAATATATCCATTTCATTGTGAAATAAAATAAATTGTAGATTTATATTTTTAAAATGTAATCATAGATTTAAATTACACGAGGAGTTCCTTGCCAAAATCCATAGCTCTGGCCCAATGATGTTAAATACAAAGACAGCCGCATGAGATTTTCATGCATATTTGGCATCCTTAGTGTCAGACACAGAGATAGATGTGAACGGGATTTGCATGCATATTAGGCCTCCCTAGATCCTGACCGTTCGACCTGCCTAATTTATATTCCGGCAGATTTATCAAGAAATTAACTCCGCTTAGTTTAAAAGGGGTTATCACAGAGACAAAAATAAGAAATGGAAATATTATGCCATAACTTTTGAACCCTGAGAGGTAGAAACTTCATATTTAATATGTAAACTCCTTTAACTCAGCTCTTTCAAATGACACCAAGGTCAATGACCTTGTGACATTGAGTGTGTCCTATATGCTACAAATAGCTTTTTCGATCTTTTGCCATAACAGATGAAGACTTCATATTTTGTATGTATACTCCACTTTATAAAGTTCTTTCAAATGACACCAAGGTCAGTGACCTTGACAAAATGCTAAAAATAGCTTTTTCGAACTTTGTTGCCGCCGGGCGAATAGTGTTTTACAAATACATCTTGTTTTTAAATACAGTATAGAGTATATATTGAACGTATGTCGGATAATTTTTTTTGTTAAATTTTCATCTGTTGGTTTTTTATCTCCATTGAAAATAACAAAATACAAATGCAATCTTTTACAGACATACAAAGAGCAAGGGATTGTTCAGCTATTCTAAAATCTATTCCGCATACAAAAGGACGAAATGGTGTCTATATGATTTACCCTGACTTGAAGACAAAGAAACTGGCCTACTGCGATATGACTACAGAGGGAGGGGGATGGACAGTAAGAAAATTCTAGAACATGTCAAATTTGTTTTCTAAAAGATTTCCATATCATAGCCAAAACAACGTTTCATTGCAAAATAAAAGTATGCTTGAATTGTGAATTGGGTTGAAAAAATAAATGAACTTCTTCTTACAACAGGTAATTCAACGTAGAATTGATGGGTCTGTAGATTTTTATAGACCATGGAAGTCTTACAAAGAAGGATTTGGTAATGCTGAAGGAGAATACTGGTTAGGTTAGTATTTTGCCATAGATTGTTGTCTAAAAAGAAATCTTTTTTTGTAGACTTTCACCGTATGAGATATTTTTCTCTACTCAAAAAATCTTTCGCACCATATACCTGTATAATAATCCTTTTTCATCCCCCAAAACTATTCATATTTTATTTTCAGTTTAAAAACCGATGCAAGACTGAAGAGGCAAATTAGATTTGCTATATAGTGGTCATATAAAGTACAAAATAAATTATAAATTATTTTAATATTTTTTCCTCCAATGAAATGAAGTAATTCATTCACTCACCACAAAAACAAAACAAGAACTGAGGGTGGATCTTCAGAATTTTTCAGGCAAAAAAGCATTTGCCAAATACTCAACATTTACCCTTGGAAGCGAGTCTCAGAAATACAAGTTGACCGTTGGTGGATACAGCGGCACTGCAGGTATGTTTGGATCTCAACATAGGCGTTTAGATCGCTTTGATCTTACCGACATGTCGGTAAGATCAAAGCGATCTAAAGGCCTGTGGTTCTCAATAAAGGACTTTAATCAGGTCTGGGGCGGCCTCCGTTTTTGGAGGATAGCTAGATTCAATATGGCAACCAAATTTTTTACCATATATGGAAATCGCAATGCAATGTCGGATAGTTTATCTTCTGATTTCAGAGGATAGCACAGGTAATTTTCAAACGCCGCATGCCTACCTTTAATCAAAAAGTGCAAGCACCAGAGTGCAATTAAATAAAAGATCAGACATTAAACTATCAATTGTATGTGGCGATTTGAGATTCTATGTCTAGAATTTTTACAATACGCTTTCAAATTTGGCACTTCTTGCGCTTCATTTCTACTTAATATTTCTTGTTATTTTGTTTAATTTTTATGTTTTTTCCCTATCAGGACAAATAAAAAGGCACTTAAATGCTCAAACAATACATAAATAACATTACTTTCATATTTCTTTTAATTAAAGATTAGAGGAAAGGGAAACACAAAAGAAAACGTACTGTAAAGACAAAATACACTCTGCCTGATAATTTAAGCAAAGATAAAATAAATATTATTTAGAGAAGATAAGAAAAAAAATCCCACTTTTTAGCTGTGCAGCATCTAAACTTCCGCTAGAGTTCTTAGATGAGGCCTCGACGGGGACCATGCATTCGCAGTATATATATTTCCACGGACAACGTAAGTTTCAGACAGATTAGTTTTGACAACGGGTAGACGCAATTGAATTTAAGTCAGTCTTAACTGATAAGGGGGACGGTCTAACCTTGCTGTAGATGGAGATTGATCCTAATTTATTTCAGGGGTCTTAATATTTCAGTTTTGTTAGATGTATACACATACAACAGTATAGAAGACTAATACAGAACGGAAAGTAGCTCCGCCCACTGTAGTCCCGTGCAGAAGAGCAAACTTCAAAGAAAAATTCCTCTACCGTCTTATTAAATGAAATAATAATGAAACTGAATTTTTCAAAAATATGTTTTTTAAAACTTTTATGCTGTTAACACATAATTATGGTACCGGAAAATGAGGTTGGCTATAATTAATTTTCAGACAGGAAAGGGTCTTTTAAACAAAGCTTTCAAATGAATAATTTATTGACAGCAAATTACCAAAATTTGTTAAAATGATTTAAATACCTATATTTAACCATCATCGTATGAAATTTAACCTTTTATTTGTTTTGGTTGAAAAATCAGAGTAACGTACATAAACTGGGACTTGAGATGCAAGAGTTGCTATTATTTGTTTGGTTTAGACTGCCCTTTGTTTTGAAAAGTCCGGTAGGTGGCGACACCTCCATCCTCTGTTTTTAGAGGATAAAATCTATCCTCCAAAAACAGAGGCCGCCTAGACCTGTTAATTCACTAATATTTACATTTCCAAAGTCTTTGTCGGAGATAAAATTACCAATTGTAAATGTACTTTATTTCCCCATCAATGTATTGGCGCGGTTTCAAAAAAAACAAAAAAAAAAAACAAAAAAAAACACGTGGAGGGCGGGACAAACAGCTAGACGGAAGCAGGGCTTGGAGCACATGGATTGGTGGAATAAAAGCATGCAAATATAAGGAATAACTGTCTTATATTTCAATTTCATGAAGTGATCAATCGATTGGCTTGCGTGATAATTTTATGCATAAACGCCTCCGGTGTTTATGCAAATTATCACGCAAGCCACTGAGACTCGATCGATCACTTCATGAAATCGAAAAATAAGACAGTTATTCCTTAAATACATGGATTTGATTCATTAAAAACACAATAACAAACGTTCAGAAGTGAGGCTATCAACAGTCGATTTTAATAAAGATAATATTACAATAATTCTAGAGATTATATTAATTCATAGTAAATAAATGGAAAAAGAATTAATTGTATTTAAAGGAGACAGCTTGACATATCACAATGGGAGAGGGTTTTCCACTAAAGATCAAGATAATGACTCCAGTGGTGGTTCCTGTGCTGTCTCAAGTAAAGGGGCTTGGTGGTTCAACAGTTGTCTTTACTCACACCTAAACGGACCATACCACAAATCTGCTGTCAAGTCGGCGGTGTCTGTAGTGTGGTATCACTTTGGTAATGAATACCGTTCCATGAAGTTTGCAAGAATGATGATCAGACCCAAGAGCTAAATGTCAATAAAATGAATGCATAAATATAATCAAAGCTTTCTCTGTTTCATTGAGATCTCATCATCTTCTGATATTGGCTGTTGAACGTCTTAAAATAGAAAATATAATTATAATAATAACGAAGATTTTTTCGTTGGTTAAAAGAAATTCTGGATAGAACGCGAAGAATTGTGCAGAAAGTATGGCCGTCCAAAATAACTGACAATAAGTCTAAAACTTAAAAGTAAAAACATAAAAAGAATTAAAGGCCATTGAGCGCTAGCAACTGTCAGTGACGTACACACTCTCTCTCTCTCAGTCTTTTTTACTGGAATAAGTATGCCCGATTTCACAGAAGGATATATTCAGGGAAAAGATACAATATTGTTTTTTGAAATGTAAGCTATCTCTAAATCAGATACTTTAATTTATAAAAGTATTTTTGTGTAACTCAGAACAATTCAAGTAAGAGGTCCATGGGCCACAATGCTCACCTGAGTAACTTTAGCCCTGCTGCTCTTTGACAGATTTTCCCTTCACCCAGAAGACATGATTTGAACAATTTAGAATCTACACTATACCAAAATGCTTCCACCTATGTTTCAGCTTTTCTGGTCCAGTGCTTGTTGAGAAGATTTTAAATATTTTAATCTACAATGTACAGCTCAACGTACTTAATTTTTAAACTCACATGGTTTTTTGCACAAAGTCTCATTTTTTTGCGATAAAGCTTAAAATTATCGAGTTTCAGTGCGAGACATAACCCTTATAGTATTAAATTGTTTCATGTTACAGGTGCACATTCTCTAAAATTTTAAAAGTCAGTGTTCTAAAAGGAAATTTGTTTATAAATTGTATGATGTTAAATGTGTATGATTCTATCATAGGTTTTTACAAATTAATTAATGGAACTTTCTTTTATACTATTTGGTTGAAATGTTCATATCTACTTCTTAAAGATGACAATTTTTCGAGGTACTTTGTTTATATTTTCCACACTTGTCTTGGTTTTGTCGAAATTCAGCGCCTAAAAATGACAAAATTGCAAAAAGAAATTATGGAAAATGATAGGATAATAAAGTACTGTTTATTTTCAACAAAGTAAATTGTAATTGTATCGAAAAGAAAATTCTTTACATTTATGGTCTGAAACTCTAGAGTTTTGCGATGGAAGGTATCTTTCATGATGCTAGATTTCAGGAAGTTAACCTGAAAAAATGCCATTTTTTAATCTGGAAAGCAGTCAAACAGATGAGAAATACATCTATCATCTTGCGCCTTAGTGTTATATTAATGTTCAGAAAATACAGAACTTATATGAACTGCACTATTTCTGTATTAAGGCAAGGTAAATGCATGCTTTAGAATAAACGGATACAAATGCGGTTGCATTTGACGAGATACAATGAAAAAACTTTTTTGAAACGCTCATAAGATATCAACCAACAGCCTATAGAAACCGTACCAATTGTTATGTGTGAATTATGTTTGAAGTAATGGGATGTGATCAAAATTAAGTTATAAATCATTTTTGAAATATATATTGTTGTCACATTACACTATTTTGCATTTTAACAACGTGACCTTAATTTGTGCGAAAAACCATGTGAGTTTAAATAGTAGTTTGAGCAGTATATATATTTAAAAATGAAATATTTATGCTGCTCCAGAATGCTTCCATAATTTTGTTTAGCTTTAATGATCAAGTGATTCTTGACTAGACTTGTGATCTTTCCCATATATATATGAATCAATGTGAAATTTTGAATCTCTAGTGTGGTCCTACCCTACCCCGGGGTTATGATATAAACAATTAAGAGTCTACACTATACAAGGATGCTTCCACAAAAGTTTCAACTTTTCTGGTCCAGTGGTTATTTAGGAGACGATTGTTTAATGGTCACAACTTATATTTGTCTTTTTGTAGGATTATAATCCTTTGGATGGGGACTTGATCTTTTATTTTGAAAATTCAAACTTCCCTTAACCCAAGGATGCTCTGTACCTCTTTGGTTAAAATTTGCCCAGTGGTTCTAGAGAAGAAGTTGAAAAAGTAAAAAAAAAGAGTTTACAGAAGGGCGGACGACGGACAATGGATCAGAAAAGCTCACTTGAGTTGTCAGCTCACGTGAGTTAAAAATCCTAGCTTTATATCCCACTCCTTTAGAAAACTTTATTTTTCCAATACTTGATGATTAAGAAGTATTATGATGATTTTGGATCCCATCTAAAAACTCTCATGTAGCCTTAATACAAAGGAAACACCGTATTCCTCGATACTTTTCATGTTATTTGATTGATAATATATTTTTAAAAACTACATGGACATCCCTATAATGGTATTGACACTACAGTCCTTAATTTTGCCAAGTTGGTCCAGTAAATCATACTTGTTTTCGTGTAACGTATTATTCAATAATTTTAATTAATGAATGTACAACTTGACCCAGGAAAAAGTTTTTTTAGATGTGCTTTAAGAATCAAAAATGAAAAATTCAAAATAGAAGATACATCTCTTTTAGTTGAGATATTCCATCCTTAATATGAAACAATTCTTTATCATTAAATACATATCTAATTTAAAATACTCTGGCATTTATTAAAGTCGTTTAAGAGTATTAAAATAATTATCACAGGTACTTGTAGACAGAACACCTCCCCCTCCCCGATAAAATATCAATCCTGGGGCTTGTTGGATATTTCTTCACAAATTATATTTATTACACTTATTTATTAAGTATACCACAGGAAAAATCGGGAAAAACTGGATAATAATCATTCCATACTATCTTTCCTGTGCAAAAGTACCTGTGAGAAAGATATTTTTTTCATTTATCAAAGACCATCATCACAATGTTTAGGTTTTGTGATTTTGGGACCACACGCATCTGTGTTAGTGTTCCAAAAAACACAAAACCCTGACACTTTGGAATTCTTGCAGGCCCCCCGATATTGTGAATACGATGATGTCAGTGCTCAAGTCGCAGTTTGAATCAAACATAGCATGCAGTGAATACAGACGTGCGTGTCCAGACATTGATTATATGACATCGGATTGTATAACAATATACGCACGCTATTGATTCCTTCTACTGTATGCTACTCATACCATAAATATAATGTTTATAAAATTGATCTTATTTTTTCACCTTTCGAAAATTTTTAAGCGTCTTATTCACTCCCCCATTTTAAAGATCAAATATGATTATCATTTGCAGACCAACGATCCATTAATTGTTGGCAGGAGTACATGGTGGGGATAGGGATCTGTAGTTCTTCAGATGCACACGTTTAGATGTAGATTATTTTAAGGAAAAGGGTTGAAAGTAAAAGAAAGTAAAAACACACCACAGACAGAGAAGTGTGAGATTTTTCATTATTTTTGTATTTATGTTGGAAATACAGTCATCTTTTTATCTTTTTACTAAATAAATATAATAAAATTATTTGAAATAACGCACATTTTCTTTACATTAAACATAAATACATTGTATATAAAATCAGGTATTTCTGTGTTTCGTGAAGAAAGATAATTTTCTGTCTATATATAATACGGTTTTTATAAATTGTCAGGAGAACAATATTGTTTTACAATTTAATGATGACAACACATGTATATAATATAGACATATTTTCAATTAAGTGTATCTTTATATTATAGGCAAATATCCGAATTATGGTTTCATTTATGAGTGTTTATGCTCTGATCTGCTTTGTCTTTTGTTTTACAGCAGTTTTGTGTGTTGAACCTCATTCCATTATAAAAGGTAACTTTATATAGAAATACTGTATAAACTTAATGGAAAAACCAAGTCTTATTTATGATTTATAAAAAGTTAAATGTTAAGTTTAATGATGTAAATACGAAATGAATTTTTTGCTATATCAAAACATGTACTTTATTTTCATAGTATTGTAGGAAATGTTCAGTGTTAAGTTTAATTATGTAAATGTACTTTTTGCTATTCCAATACATTGTATCCATAATATTTTAGGAAATGTTCAGTCCCTACTCAAGTTAACTCCGTGGAACTGGAAGCATCTGAACACCTCAGTCAAAGTGGACACCCCGGTCTCCATGGATATTTCTGTCTTGTCCCACTACAGGCTTACTGGAAACACTTCAATAAGTATCAACGTCAGTGCACGAATGCTTAGTTTTAAATAAAAAATGCTAGAGGAAGTAGTTTAATTGTGTGTCCGACTTTTAAAAAAAATTCATCTGTTGCCTTTTTTAACAATAATGGTTGTGATAGATAAATAAATATATTTTTTTTACAGAGATACAAAAATCAAGGGATTGTTCAGCTATTCTAAAATCTACTCCGCATACAAAGGGAAAAAATGGCGTTTATGTCATCTACCCTGACTTGAAGACAAAGAAACTTGTCTACTGCGATATGACTACTGAGGGCGGGGGATGGACAGTAAGGATTTTAAAACAGCCTGTGTAGTGTTTAGAAGAATCATCAAAACAATTCTCAATACATATTTGTTTCTTGAAGGATTTTCTTTATCGCCATTTTTGCATAGATAAAACCATTTTATTTGTACTTGAAAAATATCGGTAAACAAGATGCTTGAATTTTGCATTGGGTTGAAAAGATAAGTGAAACTTCTTCTTACAACAGGTAATTCAACGTAGAATTGATGGGTCTGTAGATTTTTATAGATCCTGGAAGTCTTATAAAGAAGGATTTGGTCATGCTGAGGGAGAATACTGGTTAGGTAAGTGTGTGCCAGAGATTATATTTTAAAAATTGGAGACCATTTCGAAAAAAAAGCGTTGACAGAATGATTCACCCTAGAGATAATATCTTTCCTCCAAAAAAAAATCTTTTGTACCATATATAATGATCTCTTTATTCCCTTAAACCATTCATTTTTATGCCCCCTTCGAAAAAGGGATGGCATATTGCTTTGCTGCTTTCTTTCTGTCGGTCGGTAGGTTTGTCGGTCCACCATCAGTTTTCATTCATTTTCTACGCTCGCAGAGGTTGCACATATTGAAACGAAATTTGGTATACAGATCTATC